TATTGGTATTTTTCTCCAGATTTGTAGGAATCTGAAAAACGCGTTTCAAAACTTGTCTCTTATTTAGTTTTATGCGTCATTCAAGATGGCGGCCCCATATAGTAAATATCGTATTTATTTCATTATCACGTGTGCGCCAGCTGACTGTGGTATCAAGCTCCGTTGGTATTCATCCACCATTCGGTTAACCTCGTGTGTTGCATTCAGATATCTACTGGAGTGTAGACATTATGAAATAAAAATATGGTTTATTAACAGTAGTGAATAATATACATTCATATAAGTACATCACCGTTGAATGTTTCTCTTTATTTTATTTAGATGGTAATTAGGTAAAACTCACGTCATGAATACTCATTATTTGTTGGAATACATGCTCATACAACTGTGGTTATTTTAAGTTAGCGTATTCAAAAATATTCTAAATCAGTCCATTTTCCTTTCACTGCGCGATCCACGAGAAATCGAACGCGAAAACAAGACAAACAAATTCATAGAGTCGTAGTGACGTCAAACTTCTCGCGGGACTAGACGAAAGTATTTCCGAGCGTAATAATGTGCTATACACATTTGATGATGGTCAATTTTTATAAAGTAAGTATATTACTACGCAATACGCGAGATCTCGCAATGAACGGGAACTCATCTATAACTATCACTGCAATTCCAACCTACATTATCAGGCCTGTCCATTAGACCAATCATAATTATTCTGTGTGGGAATGGTCGTAGAAGTTTTAAAAACAACAACCAATATAGCAAGACAACGTTATCATCGGCCATCTATACCCGTCTTAAAATATAATGGCTGAATAAATTTGGAAAATGTTGGCGACGAAAGCTTACTATGACGTAATTAGGTGACACGAAGGCCGTTGAAAGCGTCACTATTTTTTCAGAAATTTTACATTGTCTCAACCTATACATACGTCATTTTGACGTCATATAATGGCTCCGTCACTAGAAGGCTCACCTCATAGGAATGGTGTACTAGTACATGTATTACACGTTTTAGATGACATCACGTCTTATCGCTGTGGTGCATCTCCTCGTAATACCAGACAAAACGTAGTGCTTCACCATTGAGGGCAGCGTGAATATTTTCTTTCTCCATGATACAATATATCACCGAATGTGAATTCACTGACGGTATGGGCTTTACGAGAGATTGTCGACTTTCTATGATAATAATAACAAAAAGTAAAGCTGATATTTCGTATAAGAATAATGGATATCATACTGCCCCCACACACATAAACACACACATAGGCTAGTGATCCTATATACACAGTTATCGACTAAGACTTCCAGTTCGATTAGAATAGTGCAGATCCCCTTCCGTCACATCCACTGTAAACTTAGCCGCCAGCTTAGGTTCAACTGTTATTGTTCTAAGAGCCACGTTATCGGTACTATTATGTGAGCCACTGCCCTGACCGTTCACTGGCTTCCCTCGCTCGTACATCACAGACGACACGAATATGGTCACAACAGCCCCCACATACATCCAATTAAGATGGAATTTTAACGGGAAGAAAATAGCACAGACAACTGCAGTCAATAAGATAGCAATTGTAGCGGAGTAGATTTTAGCTATGTTGTCGATGCTCTTGATGATGACCGCTACGGCCAACCCGCCCAGTCCACCAACAAGCATGGTCATCCCTAGTAGAACCACAGTGGTGTTAGTCAGCTCCCCTTGTACGGCGAACGGATGTCCGTTGGTGATATACAAGGCCCAGGCGCCGGTCATAACAACGCCGTATGTATAAAGCTGAACTTGCTGCTCACAAAATGATCTCTCATCATTCTTGAACAGGTACTGCAATAAACATGACATAGAAAATTAGCATATGCAATCTACCACCAAGTCGGCTTATATGAATGTTAAAGGGCGGTGGTCTCCGCGCCTCGCGTGCGCGAAAGATGGGTCTCATATAAACAAAGATGGCGACTTTGACTCTTGCGCAGTATTAACTGAGACGTCACCAAAGTTTAATTACATAATTTCTTTGGTGATTGGAAGGAATCGAAAGAGACACCGGCGGTAATCAGTGCAAGTCGCGTCCAGGTTAAAACTACTTGTGATTTCCATTTGTAGAGCGGATTGAATTGTGGGGAAATCGGTGTTTATCAACACAAATGTCGCACATTCTCGGCGCAACGACCACCGCCTTTTAACTTGAATCACGTTTCTTCTAGGGCCACGCGAAACACTAGTCTTTCTAAAGATACAAGACATCGTACACAAAGCCACTGGAATATTAGCGAAATAAAAAATTACAACAATTTATTGTCAGGTGCTTTTCTCCAAGACGCATGTAGCCGGGAACAGCCACTGGTGGCGCTGTATACAATCGAAACGTATTTAGGCTTGCCAACGCGGGTATCAGTGTAAAAAGCAGAAACACTAGTTAAATTTGGTGATCAGTTTAGTATGATAAAAAGAGTGTACACTCTTCAAAAAAACACAAAAGACATAGTTGGGGTCAAGGCGAATATACGTGATTACGGGTTTCACAATACATGCTTTCAATTAATAATGGCATTTTAAAATAATATTCAGGAGACATGTCAACGTCATAACCTCGTTAAGTTATTGGCATACGATATACGCAGTGCCCATGCTTCGGGCCCTGCTTTCGTATCCCACAACGCATGCGACACCACAGTGAGATAAACTGCCATTTACGTTTTATGCCTGGTAATGTTGTCAATCAAACCTCACTGGTGGAGCTGAACGTTGTGTTCGTATTCGAAACCCACACATAAGCGACGCTACCAGATATATACAACAGCCACACCAACCCAGCTTCTGCTGAGGTTGCAAAGAATTTGTACACAATAAGCTGTGATATTCAATTACAATTCTGGTTCCCCATAACTCTGGGTCCTATTAGTCGTATATACAGTCGTTGTCAGGTCCCAGTGTACACTGTCTGGGCAAAGATGGACATGTGTCCATCATGTCTGGTACATACTAGTATTACTTTTAGTTCAAACCATAGTGAAACTATTGTAGCCTTGTCTGTTAATATACATATAATCTTATATTTTTTGCAGTATCTCATTGTATATGACTTCAACTATAAGACTCCATGAAATAATCTGTTTACACCGGGCAAACGCCTAACTTAGTGGTAATCATCTTATTCAACGCTGTGTAAATTAACGGCCCTGGCCTCGGACCGCGCCCTCTGACGACAAATCGCTTCTATGACGTAAGACAAGATGGCAGTTCGATATATAGATATCGTTTTAATCATCCATAAATAAAGATTTTAGTATATATTCTAGATGATGAACAACTACATAACCCAAAACTGTGGTCGATTTGAACGCCATTGCTTTCGTCCGAAACGTTTCATTACTAGAGGAAATGACTGAAAAGGGAACGAAGCAATAATCAACTAAAACCACCTAGAATACACAGTATTTACCTCTGTATAAACAGATGCGGCAGTTGACAGTGATGCACTGACCACACTAAGTAAGACGGCAAACAGTAGGTAATTCATAGATGCCATTGTCGTATTGTTCTGTGATGACCCGGATGCTTCAGCCAGACTAATGCCGAAGATCAGCAGGAATAGCGCCATCCAGCGGAGAGGTGGGATCCTCCGATGAAAAACGATACGGTAGATCAGCGCCGTCATGAAAACACGTGACTGGATCAATATATTCCACAGCGGCGGCGGGGCAAAGTTCAACGCATACAAGTAGAGGTTATTGTTCATTCCATATATAAGAGAAGGAATCGCGAATTTCCATGACAACTTCATAGTGTATAATCCCCCTTGACAATATAATATTGCCATGGTAACCACAAGTTTGATCATCTCGGTGAGCACCACAATGGTTGCCTGGGATATGGGGTATTTTCCTGAGTTGTACTCTTTGGTTCCATACGTACCAAACTGCTTCAAAACATCTAGCAAAATGAACGCACAACAGATTATCACGTTCCAGACTATTTGAAGTTCCCATAGCTTCGGAAGTAATGTTGGAGCGCCTTCTGGTGGTGGGAGTTTGACAGTCACGGGACGTCCATTTTGTATTCCACTAGTGATTGGCTTACCAGTGTCTTTGTCATAGGCTGTGGGGGCCATTTCTGTTCTCAACTAATGAAATCTCAAATTCAGGATTTCCAAATGATACAATTCTCCCCTGTAGACAAGAAAAAATAAGTTTGAGTTGTGTCATTCAACAATTAGAACATCACTATTATTAGTGCTGAAAATAAAGATTCTCAAGCTGAAGTAGCCTGACATGGTCGACGATTCGCTGGTGTCCGTTGCGAATGACAACCCGGAATGGCAAGTAGGACGCAGGTAACGCCATATTGTTCCACTGGCAACTGCAACAACATTGCGTCAGGGGTAGTTTGACGTAGTTTGAAACCTCGGATCAACATAATGTGCGTATAGCCTATCAATAATTTAATTTTAATTTGTATATGGGTTTGGTTGTTGGAATTCATGATACTGTAAGATACGTGAGACACACACGACGACGACATCGCTCGCATCCCTTTCAGGCAGGGATAGGAAGGTCTCGGGTCACTTGATATTAGAGAAATATGCAAATATAGTTATAATTGACATATTGTGGGAGGGGGGAAGTAGTTGTATTGATAGAGAAATTGGTAATCGATATAAAGTATTAAAGCGGGAGGGTCGTCACCTGCGCACGCGCTGGAACTGAGTCCCAAGCGATGATAACAACACACGCTAAAAACGCAAAGGCTCATGAGCAGACGCTTGTTTGTAAACAATGACACGCTATGGCCATCTGATGCATGCGCAGGTGACCCGCTTTAATATCTTACACTGACGGACAATCTTACACACTGTCTATCATGTACTATCCAGTACTGGCAACAAAATGATATGCCGTACTTGAAATGGGATTGATTGCTGTCTGTCTGTGAATAAATAATTTTTAATCCACCGCGGACCATGCCCGGGACCCCTTAGTAAGGTCGAGCCTTTGGCGCGAGGGATGGTGAGCAGATCTCGTCCCCATAGTTACTTCATCAAAATTTACCATTGTCAAATGTGTATATAGCAAAATATTAAGCGTGGAAGTACCCTTCCCCAATTTCGCGTTTGTCGAATCTCACGCGATGTTTTGACGCAATTAATACGTTGCTATGATCTCACGCAAAACGAGGAAAATATTGTGGCATATATTTTATTAATGAGTTGTGGTCTCAAATTATAACATATTAATTAATTTCCACTTATTTGTAAATAAATATTGAGGGTATTTGTTATCCTCCATTCATTGGATATTCAGCATTTATCAGATTAAATACAGAACAAACCCAAACTTGAGGATTTAACACCCAGAGAGTACATTTTGCAGGCATTATTATTGGTTAATGGCCGCATAATATGAATGGGCAATTATCGATTGCACCTACCCGTATTTGCCTTCAGGAAATGATGCCGTGGAATAAAATAAGACACACGTGTATCCTTGGGAGTGTTGCCTGGCAACATAACAATTAAAATCAGGAAGCAGAACTTGAAAAGTGGCTTCGAACTGTTTTTTTGCTATCACAGGTTTAGAAAAACCAAGGCTAATTAAAATACGTAGATGTTGTTGTTTTGAAGGCTCAGTAGCGTGAATAAACCGACCTCGGAAACTCAAAATAGTAAGATAATAGAACAACTATCGTGCTTGTGGAGCTGCGACGTTTACCGCACACAAACAACTTCTTGTGTGCCGCCCTCAAGAGTGGGGAAGGCTTTAATTGTCTCGCGACTCGCCTGTCATATAACACATTGTTTATGTTCAAGCAAAAACAATCACGTGACTGTCACGCCAGGGATCTCGTTTTTACCATACGTCTCTCCGACACCGTGGAAAAATTGCAGGTCCCAGAAAAACCCTTATAATAACAGTATTTCTGCAAATTCCTGTCGAAATAAAATGCAATAATGTAAATGAACTTGGAAACCCGCGCTTATTGAGTTTTCCAAACTTGAATTCATTTACTACATCTCACTTCTACTGAAAATTAATTATTGTCACAGCCACAAGTTAAATATACTGACCCGCTCGTACAATTTCATCCAGCGAACTTGAGCCTTGCCGATGCAGTGACGATATCCAACAGCTATTTTTTTCATTCCGTTTACCATCGACAGCTGATAGAGAATAACACACACTTATTCGATGACGAGGAAACTCATTGTCCGTGCACAGGATAACTTGTCAACAAAACATAATGCTTATATGCAAAATGCATGCAAATGGTGTAAGAGTTGTATCGGCTAAGGTCACTTGCAGTGGTTCGGCGTGGCATCAAGGTTACGTGGAGTGAATACTGGAAAACATCTTCGAGGTCATACTTGAGGGCACTTTTTTCCAGTGTTTTTATTGTACTTGTTGGAGCCTAAGTGCGGTTTAACACTATGAATGATATCGCAGTTTTGTACTCGTACGTCCACGTACAAACTCCGTGCATGGAAACTTACAACACAAATCGGTGTAAACAGCCGTTAAAACAATACTGGTCACTGCTACGTAGCCTATATTGTAGATTACTTTATGTACACTTGGACTCCGTATTCTCTGCTCTGTAACCTACTGTAGATTACTTTATTTACACTTGAACTCCGTATTCCCTGTTCAGTAACCTACTGTTGATTACTTTATGTACACTTGGACTCCGTATTCACTGCTCTGTACCCTACTGTAGATTACTTTATTTACACTTGGACTCCGATTCTCTGCTCTGTAACCTACTGTAGATTACTTTATTTACACTTGAACTCCGTATTCCCTGTTCTGTAACCTACTGTTGATTACTTTATGTACACTTGGACTCCGTATTCTCTGCACTGTAGCTTACTGTAGATTACTTTATGTACACTTGGACTTCGTATTCTCTGCACTGTAGCTTACTGTAGATTACTTTATGTACACTTGGACTCCGTATTCTCTGCACTGTAGCTTACTGTAGATTACTTTATGTACACTTGGACTCCGTATGCACTGCTCTGTAGCTTACTGTAGATTACTTTATGTACACTTGGACTCCGTATTCTCTGTTCTGTAACCTACTGTAGATTACTTTATGTACACTTGGACTCCGTATACTCTGTTCTGTAACCTACTGTAGATTACTTTATGTACACTTGGACTCCGTATTCTCTGTTCTGTAACCTACTGTAGATTACTTTATGTACACTTGGACTCCGTATTATCTGCTCTGTACCCTACTGTAGATTACTTTATTTACACTTGGACTCCGTATTCTCTGCTCTGTAACCTACTGTAGATTACTTTATTTACACTTGAACTCCGTATTCCATGTTCTGTAACCTACTGTTGATTACTTTATGTACACTTGGACTCCGTATTCTCTGCACTGTAACTTACTGTAGATTACTTTATGTACACCTGGACTCCGTATTCTCTGTTCTGTAACCTACTGTAGATTACTTTATGTACACTTAGACTCCGTATTCTCTGCACTGTAGCTTACTGTAGATTACTTTATGTACACTTGGACTCCGTATTCTCTGTTCTGTAACCTACTGTAAATTACTTTATGTACACTTAGACTCCGTATTCTCTGCACTGTAGACTACTGTAGATTACTTTATGTACACTTGGACTCCGTATTCCCTGTTCTGTAACCTACTGTAGATTACTTTATGTACACCTGGACTCCGTATTCCCTGTTCTGTAACCTACTGTTGATTACTTTATGTACACTTGGACTCCGTATTCTCTGCACTGTAACTTACTGTAGATTACTTTATGTACACCTGGACTCCGTATTCTCTGTTCTGTAACCTACTGTAAATTACTTTATGTACACTTAGACTCCGTATTCTCTGCACTGTAACCTACTGTTGATTACTTTATGTACACTTGGACTCCGTATTCTCTGCACTGTAACTTACTGTAGATTACTTTATGTACACCTGGACTCCGTATTCTCTGTTCTGTAACCTACTGTAGATTACTTTATGTACACTTAGACTCCGTATTCTCTGCACTGTAGCTTACTGTAGATTACTTTATGTACACTTGGACTCCGTATTCTCTGCACTGTAACCTACTGTTGATTACTTTATGTACACTTGGACTCCGTATTCTCTGCACTGTAACTTACTGTAGATTACTTTATGTACACTTAGACTCCGTATTCTCTGCACTGTAGCTTACTGTAGATTACTTTATGTACACTTGGACTCCGTATTCTCTGTTCTGTAACCTACTGTAGATTACTTTATGTACACTTGGACTCCGTATTCTCTGCACTGTAGACTACTGTAGATTACTTTATGTGCACTTGGACTCCGTATTCTCTGCTCTATAGCTTACTGTAGATTACTTTATGTACACTTGGACTCCGTATTCTCTGCACTGTAGACTACTGTAGATTACTTTATGTACACTTAGACTCCGTATTCTCTGCACTGTAGACTACTGTAGATTACTTTATGTACACTTGGACTCCGTATTCTCTGCACTGTAGACTACTGTAGATTACTTTATGTACACTTGGACTCCGTATTCTCTGCTTTGTAGCTTACTGTACACTTGGACTCCGTATGCACTGCTCTGTAACCTACTGTAGATTACTTGGCACTTGGATTTATAGAAATTGATCAAAACATTCATCAAAACATAGTAAAATTAATTTCTCTGTGATTTATTCATAACATATCGAGAATCAGTGACAATAATTTTTTATTTTCAACGAAAAACTATCGTGTTGACGCGTTGAAGTCACTGCAAAGTGTTGTAAATACATTTTGCCTCGACATACAAGTATTTGACTCGATTTATGGCAAATTGTTTACGCGAAACTCAACTCGATAGTTTGACCTTCCCTATAGAAAGTCAACGATCATAAATATATCAGGGGGTAAATCCTTTCTCTCTGGGTTCTCCACACTTGCCAGGGGGGAAACTCGTCTCGTCTCTCTATCTCGTCCCCTTGAGGTACGGGATCGGGGAAGTCACTTTAACTTTACAGTCAAATAAGACACACACAACGAAATACGTTTCAGCTCTCGTCTTAGTCGGTCAATCGAGCACTCTACCAGACACAGCGCCCTGGGGAAAAGTCCCCAAGACTCTCACAAGGCTGACCCAAGGCTAGCCCAAGACTGGACTGCCTCAAGGCTCGCCCCAGGACTGGACTCTCGACTGCAGGACTGCACTCTCTCTCTACTGCGTCTATCGTGGAGTAACCAGAGAGCAAGACCAACTCAAACTCTCTTTATTCATTTTCACAACTCTAACCAATTACAAAACAGTAAAAAGACTCTAGGGCGTAACCCTCAATCATAAAGCCAATCAAACTAAGTACTGAATACGTCATCTTTTGATTAATCGTTCACTACATTAATAACTACGGATGTCAGAATAGCGACGGTATCTTGTAATTAGTTCCAAATCACTGAGCCAAGTTCCGTCCAAAACTTCAAATAGGCCTACACGATGACAGACATAACACAGCAATTCGCTAATAATCAACTAATTAAGTCGGTTAACAGATACGCAAAAACAAATTCATGACAAATAACTAGCACAAATTGTTATTCAGCGAATCTGACTACTTTCGTGGCGATTTGCGCCCTCTGTCGGCGGTGGCTGCAACGTACAGTTTACGAAGTTTTCATGACGGCCTATATAGGTCTCATGCCACTAATTAACCAATTAACCAATCAATTTAAATGCCTAGCAAGAACCAATGAAATTTTTTAAATATTATTTTTGTCAAGTGCTCCCTGTTTGAGGGCATAATCACCTGGGTCAGAGGTGAGACCAACATGTGGTCTTTTGTTTACTACTTAGCGGCTGTGTACCTGTGGGTTTATTCTGTGTGTTAATGGATGTTCCAATCTTGGTGTTTTTCCAGTGATTTCTCTTGGTGCAATCCAAATACAGTAGGTGTGTCTTGTTTACCTGAGATTTGCAAGAGTTTGAGCTGGCCAACATGTTAGTTTTTTTCATATGGTTGATTACTGGCATGTTGATTTCCCATTTTTGAGCCATATTTTCAACTTTCTTCGTCATTTTCATATAGCAATCTCGTCATATGTTAACATTGTCGTCTATGGAAATTCAATTAGTGGTATGAGCCCTATATATCTGCTTATCCCCTGAATCGAAATGCAATGTTTTAAATTAGTAGTCCGGTTGTGGAGTTTTTGGACTCGGGAGAATGAGGTTACTCTGTTGACACAACTACCTCCAGGTCACCCTTGGGCAAGGTGTAGTACCTGTCAGCCTTGGGTGCTAACTTCCCACATAACACGTTTGGTTGATGTTAAAATTAAAGCGCGGTGGTCGTCGCGCAGCGCGTGTTTGAATTTCGTGTAAATAAACAATGTATTTTACACGCGTTGTATACGGCGCTATGAGTCCCATATCGAACAGAACACGGCACGACGACTACCGCCCTTTAATTTCCAGAGCGTGCTTATGTGCGTATTCCGTTAAATCCAACCACCGAGAACTATGGTTTTTGCTGAAAAAAAAGTCGTTTTCATTTTACGTTTAGTGCACAGTTCAATGTGGAACTACTTGATATCGGCTCAAATTATGTTTTACGCATGCGTAAAACCGGAAAGACGTATATTTATTTTACAACATAATAAGTTGTAGTGTGGCAGTATGGCGGATCATTGGTTTCAAGAAAAGAAAGTTATTGATTTCATGACCATGCACTGATCACGTGTCAATGCATAATCATTGCATCCCCCGGCTATAAAAATTCTGCACGGACCCGGGAATTTTT